AGAGATGATGTTACTTAATGTCACTTTAAAGCTTTGTTCTTCTTTGACTCAAATTAAAGGGTTACTCCACCTACTTTACATGAAAGGATCAGTTTACTCATCACAACTTCTACCTCTGTCAAAACAATGGTGATGTTTTCTGAGACTCTGAAAGAGCTCTCCATCCTCAATCTGAACTGTGTATTTTGTTGGTCCCAGACCCAGGTGACATACTAAGCAGCACCTCTTTACAATGACTGTTATTGGACTGCATACTAGTAGCCAACAGTGATATATGTGAGAATGCACACTTTTGCATAACGCAACACCATGCTGCTAGTTACATGTTTAAGAAAAATACTTTTAACAATTTCCTCACTATTTAATGGTCATGCTTCACTTTGTATTTGTTTTTATTGTACTTTGTAGAATGACAATAGACATTTATTCTATTCTGTCTTCTAATAGACTTGAATCCTGAATACCAGAAGAAGAGTAACATCTGTTTAAGGTATTATTTGTTTTCAGTATATGAGATTTGGAGATAGAGTGTTCTCGTAAAAAACACATAATGATGTGATATCCAAACATCTTTCTGTCTAGGAATGTGATATAAACAGCCAAATCCAAACCTCCAGACTCAGGCTTCACTACAGTACAATCAGATTCCATAAAGGCATTGTTATGTACTTTTCAAAAAAAGATTTGCTCTTTTCATTTGTCTCTATCCAGATTTTCCACGGGGACTTGCCCATAGTTCATAGGAAAATAGATGCCTTATAAAGCATAGCTGTTCCACCTGGCAATGTACACAAACCAAACAAGGATGTTAGTGTGAAAAAACCTGCAAGGAAGTTTTTCTGTGAGTGAGAGCCTCTGGCTGGGATTGGGCCCCCAGGTCTAACAGGTAACCTGTTAATTATACAAGTCAACTCTGCAGTTATTTTGGCCTTTTCCTTTGTTCCTTTCATTGTGTTGTGTAATCGGGTGCTCTCCCTGCAACGTTGCCAAATCCAATTATGCATAGCAAAAAAAACAATTATGAATAACTCAGAAATGCTCTGCTGTGATATCAAACTAGTTAAACTAGGATCAAAAGAAAAGTTAAACAGTTAATGATCATACCATTTGTCTGCAGTGATCCTGCCAGCACTTGTCAATTTTCTTTAAGAAAAGCACGCTGTCCAGAGCATCCGTAAGATTACTGTTAAGGCAAAGGTGGGCTGTTATTGAGATCTTTCTTGCCTTAAGGCTTGCGTAATCAACACTATGCTAAACACAATCAACACAGGAGATAAAGAGTGAAGGATATTCTCTGAACTGATCAATCTGTGCCTTGATGTGGTCTTCACACACGGCCCTCAGCTGCTTGTAAAGCTTGGCAGATATCTTATGGGAGCACAGGTTCTCCACAGCCTGAGGGGACAGAAAGAGAAGAGTCAGAAAAAGGAGTGTTTCTTCGTCAGTGAAGGGTGATGAGTACAGCGAGCTTCCTCCAGGAGGTCAGCAGGTGTGAAGTAGTCTTGCCTGGTAGAGCTCCTCTAGGTTGTACTTAATAGAAGTGCTGTTCTGAATGGCCTCCACCGCCTCTTTAAGCTTCTGCCAGGTCTCTTGTGTGTAGTTCTCCGGCAACTTGGGTTTTTCTGTTCAACACAAAAACACAACGCAACTTGTTTTGATACATTTCATTGATTCAGTGACACACAGCCGACCCAAACACACCACTGTGCCGTGTCACCAGGGCTTTTTAAGGTTAAGCCACGGGTAAGAGTCAAAATAAATCCAATATGTGCTTATTGAATTTATTATACGGTCATATCGTTACGAGTTTATTAAGTATGAAATGACAGGGAACATTTTTAAGTCTCTCCAAATCTGTTTGTACTTTTTTCCCCCCTCATTATAAAAAGAAAAACAACCAAAAAAACAAGTTGAAAACGGCGTTTTCATGACGTATCTGGATATTTCTAAAGATTTCTGAATAAAAATGACTGTTAAATATCAGGGTGATGTTCAAAGTGATAACATGAAGAGGTTTTTTTTTCTCCAAGTTTGATCAGATCTATTACATTTTCTTAAATATATATTTTTCAGTTCTTAATACAACTTATTTATTTTTACATTTTGTACTCTTTCTTTTTTTTTCTTACAATGCTAGTCTATTTTATATATAATTTTAACTTTTTTTTTTTATAGAAGCTGACTCAGGGAGAAACGCACAAGAATTCCAATGTACCTGTACTGTCCTGTACCTGTGCAAATGGCAATAAACATCTAAACTAAACTTAGCAGTGCCGATTTGATTAATAGATTCAAAGTTAATAATATTGCAGTATTTTTTTTTTTGTAGAGGAAAGATCATTACAAATCAGATCTGGTGAGTCATATCTGAGTGTGCAGTATAATTAGGGACCATCTCAGAGCTCTTGCAGACTTATAAACTATTGAGTGTAAGTTGTATTTCGAGCTTGAAATCACAGTATCTGCTACCTTTGAAGTTCTTGATGACTAGTTTCTTGGCTGCACCGGGTTTACTGTTGGGGAAGGTGACGGAGCCTGCGGTTTTAGTCAGTCCGTTTGCATGGTGCCCCACGCCGCCGGACAGGAACACGGCTTTGCTTTTGTTATTGGAGCACGAAGCAGCGGCGGCGGCGGCGGCAGCAGCAGCAGCCTCCTCAGCCATTTTCACATCCAGCCCAATGAAATCCACTGAATCCTCGAACCTCAACTTCTTCTGAATGTGCAGCGGAGTGGGAGAGCAGGAGGGGGAGGAAGAAGAGGAGGAGGAGGAATTCAGGGTCTTGGGGGGCGAGGAAGAGATCGTGTCAGTGGGGTCTTCCCTCTCGGATCCGTTTATCTTCCTCTTCTTCGGAGATGTGATGTTACCGCTTTCGTTTTTGACATCAGTAGCCGCTGGTCTAGCCTCCTGGGTTGGCGGTGGTGGGGGATTAGGGGAAGATAAACCTGTTGGAAACATGAAAAAACGGGAATACTAATTCTTAACAGCCCAGTCTTCTGTTCCTAAACTTCCAGTTCTTGCCGGGAGGTGAGCTCAGTATCCGGGAGCTTTTTTTTTTTTTAATCTTTCTTTACACTGAGAGGTTTCCTTTCCCCAGCATTAAAAAAAAAAAGACAATAATGTGTAAACTACACAGCTCTACTTGAATCTAGCCTGCTCTCTTTCTTGTTATTGCTGGCAGAAGAAGAAAGATGGTTGGCTATTGCTTCCTCTTTTTTTTTTTTTTTGCCTCGCTTGTCTAACCCGCGTTGTGCAGTCGTTCAGTCCGGCAGCTTGAAGACTTTTATATTTACAGGAGAAATGTAGCTACGGTAAAAAAAAAAAAAACTAGGCTCTCATGGTGGTGTAACACCCGCCGGTAAACACGGGGAAATATTCGCTCCTAAAAAGCTAGTCGGTGACCCCACCGGAAGTACTTTGTTCATAAGTACTTTTTGCTCAAGCATGTTTTTTTTTTTTTTTTTTTTAATTCGAACCATGATGTTGTTTATGTTCTGACCACTAGATGGCGCCACGTCCACGTGTCTCACACCTTTTACACTGAAACCTTTTACCTCACTGGTGTCCAAACCTTTTTTTTCTTGCGGGCGAAAATTGTGTTAGAATCAAAACAGTTTTTTTTAATTTTTTTTTATTTTTTTTTATTTATTTAAATATTTAAAATAATTTTGTGGTGAACTTTTTTTTATTTTGACCTGTTCAAAAATACCGTAAATACACAATAACAAATTACAGTGAGAAACTATTGTATTCTCTCTTTTTTTTTTTTAAATAGTGAGACTTAGTAGATCAGAATCAAAAGGCTCGCTAAAGAAACCCTTTAATATATATATATATATATATATATATATATGTTATTATATTATTATACTAGTCTATATTATATAACATTTCATTATATTACACTATGTTGTTCATATTGCACTATATTATATTATATTATACTACATTATATTATATAACTGCACTCTGCCTTACTGTGGTACAACACTGCCTCTCTTCTCTGCTGTTTACATTACTTGCTGCTATTTTATCATACCAAGTCACTTTAATCACTTGTCACTTTATCTTGTCATTCTCTGCAAATACTGTCTCAATTCTCAATTCCCCGCAGTTAACTTCATCATTCATTTTGTACTCTATCTATTCTGTTTAATGTGTATTTTTGAACTTTCTTGTCTGTGCAATAAAGTATTATCCTATCCTATCCTAATAAAAGGAAATCAAATATTTTGATTTCTTCGTTCTTCTTTATTTATTTATTTTTTTCTCAGAATCAAGCCTGTAACGTGGTTCATTTTTTTTTTGGAAAAGCTTTCTGCATTTAGCTCAGGTCATTAAATGGTTAAACAACAGTCCGCTTGTTTGCAAAAACTTTGCATACGTTTTTTTTTCATAGTTTACAAAAACTGTGGAAAATAGTAAAAGCTGTAGATTTAAAAAACAACAACAACATACATGTTACTGAACATTTTCTATTTTGGGAATATTGTTCAGCCCTTGTTAACATGAAAAAGAAAAATAAGATAATGTGCCAATCTTAATCAAGGCCTCGGGCCAAAATCTTCTGATTCTTCATTTGAAGTCACGGGCCGCAAAAAATCCCCTCAAGGGCCGCAAATGGCCCTCGGGCCGCACTTTGGACACCCCTGCTTTACGTGCTTACCTCCATGAGTTTTACTGTTCAAAAAAATAAATAAAAAAATATACATTAAGAACTGCACAACATCAAATATACGCAATAACTTGGGTAAAATAGTATACCATGTAATAAAATACAATATTGTTAAAAATATATTTGATATTATTACAATAAATGATTCACTTTGCGACAGACTGTTGTCGGGAGTGACAAAACGTCTACCATAAAATTATTCTATCAGGGAACAAGTAAAAGATAAGAATAATTATAATATAACAACAGGGTAACAAAAATAGCATTTTCATATTCGTATGCGACCTGACTTGCCGTGTATTGTGCGCAACTGTCGTAAAAATGACGTAGTCCTCTTATCGTTGGCCCTTCCTTCACGACGGTACAGGCGTGGAACTGCAATAGCCTCGTTTGATAGATGCGTTGTGTGTTGTTAATCTCTTGTGATTTTGATAGACGACTCTGTGTGCTGAGTGCCGAAGAGTGCTGTCACAACACGACAACGGAACCCAACGAGGATGTTTAAAAAGTACGTGTCTGGTAAACGTGTTGTGCCGCTAGCTTCACTAAAGCTAAGAGGCTAATGCTAACTGAGGAGCAGTGTGTGAGGCGCATGTTTTTATTATAAGAAAAACACTCAGTATTAATTATCTGTTGTTGTTGTTGTTGATCAGTCGTCTGAATATCTGTTTGTCAACTGTCATTTAAAAAACAGTAACTAGTTTCTGAAGAAGTAAACATATTATAATCAAACTAATGAAAGAGTCATTTTTAGATTGTTTTCCACATCCTGTCACGTGATGCTTCATATAATCATATTCTCACTTTAAATCATTCATTTGAATTAATAAGCACCCGAATAAAGTGTGTCTTTCTTGTTCCTTTATCAAAGCTGACTTAAACATTTGAGTTTCAGAATGAATTGTTGTTAAAAGTGTTTGTACGCAACCATTTTATGAAAGATTAATTTAACCTTCCCAGTAAATGTGAATTATTATAGGTAGCACTTTGGTTAATAAAGAGAAGGCCATTCAGAGCTAAAACAACGTTGATCATTAAGGGATTATTTCCCTCCACTTTAATGAACTCCTGTATGTATGTACACTAAATATTTGAATATTCTCCCACTCACAATAAGAGACTCACAAACATCTGCAACCTTCAACACCTCAAACAGTGGATAAAAGAAAGTCTGTGACCACCTTTAACCTTTAACCTCTATTATTGTCTTGTGTCACTTGTGCCTTCGTATTTGTAATTTGTCTTTCTCTGTTACCTGCCTATAGGGACAACAGATGGAAACTAGCACTTCTGCTATAATCTGGCCTTTTTTACAGCTGTTCATTAATATGCACTGTCCCTAACCAATAAATAAATAAATAAATAAACACTGTGCGTAAGCTCACAGTACATTCATTAATACACCTAGTAAATAAAATGTACAACTAGAATGTATAATATGTGTTTCTTTATTTACAAACACGTAACGCAAAGTGAATTTTCTGTTTTCTTGCAGATTTGATGAGAAGGAAAATGTGTCAAACTGTATTCAGCTGAAGACGTCGGTGATCAAAGGCATCAAAAATCAGCTGCTTGAGCACTTTCCTGACATCGAGTCATGGCTCAACCACATAATGCCAAAAAAGGACCCTGTCAAAATAGTGAGATGGTAAGACTTACATTTTCCTCAAATGCATTGGTTTTTTTTTTTTTACAAACAGTAGATTTTCTTTTACATTGTGCTTCATTGTTTTCCTTGAATCTTCTGACAGCCACGAGCACATTGAAATCCTCACAGTGAACGGAGAACTGCTCTTCTTCAGGCAGAGAGAAGGACCTTTTTACCCAACCCTCAGACTGTTGCATAAATGTAAGATCTTCTTATGCGATATGCTACTTGGTTTGAGTTTGAAGGTTCACACACCTACAAGATAATTCTCCTTTTTTCTTCTCTTAGATCCTTTTATTCTTCCACACCAGCAAGTAGACAAAGGGGCCATTAAATTTGTCCTAAGTGGAGCCAACATCATGTGTCCAGGGCTGACGTCACCGGGTGCTAAACTCTACCCAGCGGAAGCGGACACAGTAGTTGTATCCTTTTACACACCTGTTTTTTTTGCTATAAAGTTGTGAAATTGGCTTTTGCTTTAGAGTTATAGATTCTCTTTACAGCATGACAATAAAACGTCTCCTAACTTCTGCCTTTTAAATCCGTTACCTACAAGTTTGTCTTTAACAATTGGATACAGGCTATAATGGCAGAGGGAAAACAACATGCACTTTGTGTTGGCGTTATGAAGATGTCTGCAGAAAGCATGTAAGATTTTGTCTTTTCTAAAAGTTCTGAAACCAAGAAATGTTTGCTCGGTTGCTGCTTTTGTGATCTGATCTTCATCTTTCTTATGCAAACAGAGAAAAAGTCAACAAAGGAATTGGTATTGAGAACGTTCACTATCTGAATGATGGACTGTGGCACATGAAGACGTATAAATGATATCAATACCCACGACGTCCCTTTTCACTGCTGCGTCCAACCCAAGTAATCCGGAGCGTGTGGAGCTTTTCGACAGCCAGGCCTGAGCTGCCAGTGACCCGTTTACACCTACAAACGTCGCCATGTAACCTGCTTTGAATCAACTGGCACAATGCAAAATTTAAAAAAGAAAGATCTTGCTTCAAAGGTTTAAATCTCAGTTTGTATGTTTCTTTGGATCCAATAAAAAATGCCAAAACAATTGCTTTTTTTTTTTGTGTTTTTGGATTTCAATCCATTGATTTAAAAACATTGTACTTCTCACCTCAGGGGACAGAGTAGGTAGCTGCCCCAGTCTCTAGTTCAACATGGGAGCATATTTAGATAACTGAACTGTGGAAGGAAGGTTAATGTGTCTTATTTGTTTTCGTACACTAACAATGACAGGAAAGATTTGCTGTCATGATAATCCGGTGTAATAAAACCAGATGAGAATGGTTCAATACTTCCACTTCCTGGTGTTAATAAAATCAGTGTCACCTTTTACAGCCTTTTACATAATCTTACATTTTTAAAAGTTAGGTTGTGTTTTTATAAACATTGGCTGTTGATGTTGATTCCATCTTCTATACATTTTAAATATCGTACTCTCTCCCCCCCCCTTAAAAAAACCTCATCAAAAAGGGGGAAGTAATAATGTTCAGTATGAACTTTTTTCTTAAATCAAACAAATGATATCAGAGCATACGTGAAAACTACAGTTTTTATTTATTATACACATGTCCATATACAATAACTTAGTAGTCACAAGGTTCGTCATGATCTAAGCAGGATATAAAATGGTGAAAACATTCACAGTTCTATATAAAATGTTCCCCTTCATCAAAAATAATTCACAGCATGCCTGGCAAAGTGTAACATGTTAAAACCTGGAGTTACCTTTACTCTTCTATAGGATCCCAACTTCAAACAATTCTCTGTGTATTCTTCAACAACACCCAAAAAAAAAAAAAAAACACAAAGTTTCATCAGAAATTAGTTTTATTCCTTATCCAAAAGCAGTCATCTTCTGAGTCTGACGTCCATGTGTTTTTAAAATGACTGTGGATACATGACACAGAAAAACTTTGTTCTTTTGACATATCCAGAGATATTCAGTCCACCATTCAGTAAACATTGAGGTCTGTTATTTTCTATTTAGCTGTGAGGGCCAATTCTTTGCATGACAAGATGACTAAACATAAACCTGCAAGGAATTAACTTATCTGTTTTCAAAGCTAAAAAGATCTTCACCATAAAGTGGCTGAGGTCCAAGCACTTAAAACATTGAAAGAAAATGTAAAAACCAATTTAATCATTAGAAAATAGTATCAACTTATAACTAAAACCGCTAAAAAGACAAAACATTTAAGATACATAATATTAAAATAACTAAATGCTCCAGATCATTAAGCCTCATGTCACAAGTTTGATATATTTCCTAGCTTCATTCTTGAACGGCACACCCATTGACACTTTTTTTTTTCTTTTTACCTCAGCCACAAAGGAACGGGGGTGCTGATTGTGCCATGTGCAAATAAGGTACAAATATACATAAAAGTTTTTTCCCATCCCAATTTTCTTTTGTTTTTAAACAGCATAGGAAAACCATCTCCCAAAAAATTAAGATTGCCATCATAGAAGCAAAACCTTTAAAAAAAAAAAGAAGCTGAATCCAGCTTGAAGAAACAAGTCTCTAGTCGTTCTCTGAACCTTCGGGAGGGAGAAAAACTAAAGAGTCGAGGAAATTGTGGCCGTAAGGTCGAAGCCTGTAAACTCCAAACATCATGACGTGCATTTGACTCGGTGACATCCCGTTGAACGTGACTGCCATGTCGGAGCAGCAGCCCTCCACTACATTGTTCGGGTTGTCACTCATGCTGTCTTTTATCAGCGTCTCGACGCTCTTGCTGTTGAACAGGCCCTTACCGTGCGCGTCTTCTCCGTTCTCAGCGAATACGCCCGTATATTTAAGACACGCGGCCAGCTGCTTGTCTTCACTCAGCTTCCACAGGGCACGTCCTCTTTCTGGACATTTGTCCTCATCCTGGAATATATTCACCAGCCTTCTTAGCGCTTCATAACTCAGGGCGATACCGCTATCGTAAGCCACATACTCCAGCTCCCCTGACTTCATGGCGTTGCCCAGGTAGAAGGGCTGGCTGGGATCCTTTGTGAGCACCAGGTATTTCAGGTTCTCGATGATCGCAAACGTGGTGGGTTGCGCCACAAAAAACCAGCGCAGGTCTCCAGCGTTATCATAAGCGTGCTTCAGAGCTTTCCGTAACCTCGCCCACTCGTCTTTCTCATTCAGGTCTACCGCCTCGAGCGCCTTGGACTGCTCAGAAGTGTAAAACACGGCCTTGTCGCAATGTTTGCTCCAGGTTTCCGCAGCTGTAGCCCAGTACACAAGGATCTTGGGCTGGACCATGATGACGCAGTAGACCCGAACTTGATTGCTTAACTCCTTAATGTGACTGTCAGAGAGGTGTGTCAGCTCATCTTTGCTCGCCGCCTTGACATGATGATGGTTGTGGTGGTCCTCTGACCCAGACTCTGTGCTGGGGCTGAAACTAGCCAGGAGGGACACGACCAAGCAGAAGAGTCCTCCCAGGAGCATCCCCTTCACGAAAGAGCCGCCTTCCGAAAACATTTTGGGAACACACACACTGGACAAGAGAGCGAAGATTATTTTATGTGGCTGAATTGCATGAAACCTACTGGTACTTTATGTTTTACTTTGTCACAGGTTTGTAAGAGAAAATCAAACAGTTTAAAAATACTAAGGGAGACGATCACTGTTTTCTGACAATCATCAACAAACAGGCACATTGATTGATAAACAAACCTAACCTTCAGCCCTAATTCAACAATACAATGTGCAAACGACAGAACTTCAACAGAAGCATTGATGTATTAAGATCTCTGCAGTTTTGACTTTTTCTGTATTTAAATGTCTTCCAAACTTTGCGAACATTGTATTTGACAGACGTTACTAAACTCTTTTTGGAAAACAATTTGTGGAGTCGATATTGTTCAACACCTGGCAGCTAGAATTCTGACAGAAAAACAAAAGAACATGCTTGTAATATCTGAACACCGGCCATCAGTCGGTAAGGGAACAGATTATAGGATTCACTTATTACAGTTTAAGATATCCTGTCCTCAAAACTGTTGTACCACACAAATGTAAGGAAAAGTTCAAACTGTGTTTTGTTAGTTTAAGACTGTTGGGTCACGACTTTAAGAATTCCTTATCACAAGAGAGACTAAAATACACAATAAACCACCAGGTGACTAACACCATCACCAAACAAAGACACTTCCATACAGGTGTCTTCATTCATAACTGGTTGTGCAACTTCAGCCTCTCCTTAACATCACATTGTGCAACATTGTCACGTCTAAACTCCTCAGTATTTTTTTTCCTTAATATACCGTAATCATCCCTTTATTCTATCCTTTTTATATCAGTATTCATACAGTTCTGGTTACTTTATTCCTGTTGTTTCTTATCCATCACTGCACTACGGTCCCTTTATTTATCTCTTTTTTTACCTTTACAGTTATATTGTATATATTAGTTATGTTGTTCCATTATTCACCATGCACCCTATTAACTTATCATTTAGTATTTAGTATTTGCCTACTTGCACATAGCTCTGTATATATATATATATATATATATATTTCTTGTTTACTGCACATAGTTCTGTTTACATCTGTCAGTCTGATCACTGTCCACTCATATCTACTCTTTTATATTTTGTATTTTTAAGTTAAGTTTAAGCTTTAAGTTGTATTTAAATTGACACTTTATATTTAGGTTAAAATGTTTTGTTTACTTGCACTGTTGTTATTTTACTGCTCTGTGTGCCTTTGAATTGCCCCCAGGGGACAAATAAAAGTTTGAATTGAATAAGACTTCAAAAGACTTCCTTCATAATTGTACCTTTGTTGAAATGATTTGTTGATTAGATTACTTTTGTGAAGATCATGATCTGATATTTTTTTTAAAAAGGGGCAGAAATACCCCCCCCCCCTCACCATTTGCCACAGATAAAGACAAACTAAATGTTTTTGTTTGCTTTTAATTGACTGATATCAGTTTGTAGAGTAAGCTCTTTAATAGTTTAACAATTGAGAAGCTGAACCAGGTTGTGTAGAGTTAGAAAACAGTTTGCTCTGGATGAATAGGTAAAAAAGACCTTCAAAAAACGACTCATGCATAAAAACAAAACGTCTTAAACATCTTGAAATGTAACAGTTGTATAATTAAGTGTATTATTTCCTGTTGTTAAACATATTAAATGGCAGATTAAAAACCGTGCAGTTGTTTATGTTTACTAAATAAAAACACTGGCAGAGTTTTTTAATAAAGTCTCTTAAATGTGATCAGCTGACGTGGATTTAAGTAACAACCTCGACACTTTTCGACCTCGCCTTCGACCATCAGTAAGAATAAGATTAAATAAACTTCCTGACATGAGAGCAGATTGTTCTCCTCATGCCAAATATTCGTAGCACAGCTGATCGCTTCCTTACGTGACAGTTAACGAGTTAAACAAACAATTAACATATATTACTAATGTAAACCTACCGTTTCAGTAGCTGGTAATTATCTCGCCTGTTTTACACCTCCCACCTTTCCGGTTTGGTGATGTTACACCGTCAGGCAGGAGAGTTGATTAAAAACGAGCTAGCTCCATGGTTCAACCTGATGTTTAACTTCCGCGTTATTCAATCACGTGACTCGGCTCAGGCCACGTCCGAATACTTTAACAGCCGCTTCGTTTGCTCATTATTTTTTTTTCCAGAACTCAAAGACCCATTTAAGTTTGTGCTTTTCAAATTTTAGGAAGTCTGAATTTGTGTTTACTTATTTGTATCATGTTGATTACAAACAGTTTATTTAGATTAACATTTGTGTTTAGTTAAATAATATTTATCTCACACTTAAAAAAATAGTTTATGTATTTTTCTTATTCAACTACTGTGCATTTTTGATTAAATGTTGGAAACATGGGGCGCAGGTGGCGCAGTGGTCGGTGTGAGCGCCCATGTAATGGAGGCTATGGTCCTCCAAGCGGGCGGCCCAGGTTCAAATCCAGCCTGTGGCTCCTTTTTTCCGCATGTCAGTCCCCACTCTCTCTCTCTCTCTCTGATTTCCAACTCTATACACTGTCCTATCTCTCCATTAAAGGCGCAAAAAGCCCTCCCAAAAAATAAATCTTAAATATTGAAAACATCATAATGTATATTTATTTATTTGTTACAATGATACCACAGTGTGGCTTGCATCGCACTTGAGGTAGACTATATCATACATCAAAATTTTTTAATTATTTTGATTCTCTGAAACTGTTGCTTGGTCAAAGATTATTATAGTGTCTATGTACAAAACCAATCAATGAGGACCCCAATGAGGAAGGGGCAGTGCTTAAAACACAATGTTTTGTTTGTATGTCATGATGCAATTTTCACTGGAAAAAAAGAAAAGTAAAGAATTGAAGATAATTATTCAGTTTTAAATTCAAGACGATCTAAATAAATACATACAGACTTGCTTAGGCTACAACATGGCACGAAGAATATTTTACATAGCAGAATTAGTCCTGCTTATTATGGTGTATTTTATTGTTTTCAGGCATACCACAACGCCCCACAGTGGACATTGTATTCAGGCCCATTGTAACAATTAAATCATGTAATAATTTGTTTGTAGCCAGCATTCACTTTACTGCAGAGCAAGTTCTTCTTACTATGATGCTTTGATCAAAGCGTTTTGCTGATAATTACACTTCTTTCTTTGTTTTTTTCACAAGTTAAATTTATATTTCATATGAACTTAATGAACACATCAACATAAATCCCGTAAAGAATCTTAATATTTCAGGATAATTTATACCACAATTGATTACAATATAGTCCTGTGAATTCAAACTGCTGAGCTTTGATGTTTGCTCACTGACTGCTCAGCCACCAAATCTATCAAATGTTGTTGTTTTCAACATCAATTTCAGAGTGACTGAGACAAAGCTTTAAATCACCTCAAACAATGTCCCTCATCTGGAGAGCATTTGAGACCTTCAACAGAAATCCTCGAGCTGCAGCAAAAGTTGGAACTTTTTTGGACCTTTGAATTTCATTCAGTTTCCTTTTACATTTTCGGACGTTGTGATTCAGTCAATCAATTAATCTTCATTTGAACAGCACCCATTCATTATTATTATTACTGTTTTTTACCTTAAGACACTTTAAAAAAAAAGCTGGTCTACAACTTACTCTTTGTTATACATAAAAAGTTGGGACATTGTGTAAAATGTGAATAAAAACAGAATACAATGATTTTCAAATAATTTAAACCCCATAAATAACTGTAAGTAGTTCAAAGACAAAATATCAAATGTTGAAAGAGAGAAATTTTGCTGTTATTTGAAATTTTATATGGCAGTTCTGAATTTGATACCAGCAACACCTTACCAAAAAGTTGAGCCATGGAGTTGTTTACCACCCTGTCGCATCCCCTCTTCTTTACACAACATTTTCTAAGAATGTGGGAACTAAAGAGACCAGTTCCTGTTTTAAAAAATGAACTGTTTTACCATTCGTGCTTGATGTAGTTTCAGTTGTGCTGTATTTCACTGAGTTCAGAGACACTCAGCCTCTCTAGGATGTTATTTTTTATACCCAATCATTTCACTAACTTGTTGCTAGTCAACTTAATTAGCTGAAATATGTTCCACCAGTTATTTTCTTTCAGCATTTATCACCGTTTCCGTCCTTTGTTGCCACAGTCCTAGCTTTTTCTTCTTCAACATTTAATATATTGTCTTTGTGCTATTTCCAATTTATTATGGGGTTTAATGTTGGGAAATCATCAGGTTCTGCTTTTATTTTCATTTTATGCAATGTCCCAACTTTTTAGATATGAGTTTAGTATTTATAAAGACCCAACATAACTCCACCAGCACAGCACTTTGCAATATCAAGCCATCTTTTATCTGCTGAGATAGTGTTGGACTTGGAGAGGGAATAGAGGGAAAGACAGAATGAGAGATGGGTAGAGGGAAACAAACAAACAAATAAAACAGAGAATAGCTGCAGTGGCCGAAATATTGATTAAAGTATGTTTGGTATAAGTGAGAACAACAAAGTATGATGATAGTTTTTAGTTCAGACTGGAATCTTTCATGATTTACAACAATTCCATTTGCAACATGACCAAAATGAGATATGGAAAGACAAAAGAGAACATAACAGTCACAGAGGCCCCAAAATGTAAATATGAGGAAAGATTAAGTTTCATTTTTAATTGAAGTATTTTCTGGTGTAAAGAAATGCGCCCTTGGTTTTGCTTTATTAAAATCATAGAACCCTTCATGTGTCAGTTTGATCGTGTGTTTCACAGTTCAAATCATGTTTGGGATTTTTTTTACTTCCAGGACTTGGATTCAATTGGACAACTTATAAATGCAATTACTTATTTATCTCACACCCCCATAGTTGCAAAAGCACCTTAAAAACAGGCCATGCTTAATTCTTAAGTGTGGGAAATGGGGACTTTGGCCTGACCAGCGTATAGTTTTGTTTTCTAGATCGACAGAAATGTATCCCTTTACATTTCCAACAGATATTAGTAAAGAAAGAACAACTTATTATCCCAGGATAAAATGATAAATCAGTCAAGATCTCAATAAAACAACTGAAAATAAATACATATATAAGCACAAAACAAATTCATTGTCAACACAGGGTTATTATACTGCCCAAGAAGCAAAAAGCAGGGCACAAGAACAAAGTATAATACCGTTTGTACCTTTGACTTGTGATTAACAGCAACAAATGCACCACAATGAGCCCGCTCTTCCCTTTAGGTTAGTCATACTGTCTTCAGAAATGAGTGTCATTGAACAAAAAAATGACGTAGAAACCTGCAGTGACACACTGGCTATAACCTGTGATCTCTGACATGAGCAATGGTTCATTTGAACAGCCCATCATCACAGAGAAACGGTGTCAGACATAAAAAAAACCCAAACCATCAGAGCTCTGCTGACCTGCTGCTGATCACTGTCAGTGAGTAAACATTTGTTTTTTTTGTCTCTGAACAAGCACAGATAGGCTGCAGCTCAGTTGACAGGGCCCCCTAAATCGTGTCCATGACGCCTGATCCATCGCGTCAAAACCATTAAGAAGCAGACTGGGTGTGGCGATAATGTATCGATCAGATTGTGATGGATGACCTCTCAGGTTATATAAGTGAAGTTCTTTGCCCAGCAGAGGAGTAGTCCAGATCTGACCATCGAAAGACAAAGTCAAAATGTTGTCAGTGGCCCTGTTGTACCTCCTAGCTGTGATTGGTTCTGAGACACATGCTCTACCTCTGTATCCTGATACCAACCTGGAGCCGCAGGCAGGTAGGACTCTTTTTAAACTGAATTCTTTCATTTAGTTTCATATTTTGTCAGTTTTATTGAAGATGTTGGATCATTTTTGATAAATTGAGTAATTATAACCTTTTGTCAAACTGGGATATTTGCTGCAGACGTTGACATTTTTTTTTTTGTTGCATAATTTAATTTTCTGTATTTTGATATCATATCAGAAGGTTTTTTCTCAACAGATTTCATACAGAAGTTGGTTTCAGAGGTGGAGGATGGACCGAACACTTCAGAGGGGGAGCAGAGAGACATCAATAATCTGTATCCTCTGTTGATGCAGCACAACGGAGGGAGAGACTCCTGGACTAAAGGTAATAAGGCAAACAAACATGCAGACTTCGAATCAAATAAGTCTCATGTGGTTAATATGATCCTGTTTCTGCTTCCATGTTCATATTTTTAGGGGCTAAAGATTCAGCACAACAAGATAAATTTGCAAACATGGTAAGGCTGGTTATCTATTTCTATACCTAATCTTTCTAAGCACTATTTTACTGTTTTATTCTATTTAATGGTAAAACCCTTTATAAGATAACGTGCTTTACAGAAAAAAACAACAGAAAAATACAAAAATAGATGATCAAATTAAACTGATCTAGTAAGTCAATCAATGCTGTAATGATCTTTAAATTGAGATCTATAGAATTATAACTGCATGCTGAATTTCAACAGGAGTAATGGGGCTCTTACAGTAAACTCATCTGCTTTAATGTAAAGTCAAAAGTGAGATAATTAGAATGATGTTGCAGGATCTGAGTATCGGATTGGAGAGGCGCAGATGCTCACAAACAAGTGTAACTGGAATGAACTCTAAAATCAACTTGCAGAATGCAAACAGACTTCTGTTGGGACAATGTGATCTACGCACAGGGAGTGTAACCTATTATCCTACAATTTTCATCTGCTGTCATCATTTTTTTTGTCTTTGTCCCTTAGGTGGAGGACCTCAGGGAAGCTGTTTTAAAGCTGGAGGCGGCTGACAAGCTTCGCTCTCAGGTTTTCCTCAGATCGGAGCAGAGCCTGCCGAAAACAAACAAAAGAGGTAAGCAACTCTTATTTGAGAACGATTCTAATCTCTATAATTAGTATTCAAATATGACATACATGCTCTTTATACACAGGTTTTGACGAGGGGTTTGATATTTGAGTTGACATTAAAAAAAAAAAAAAATGATGATTGAGCAGTTCAATTAAAGCCTGTGACATTTGTTTAAACAGGTGGAGGAAAAAACATGCACAACAATATCCTGCTCTTAAATCGAACCAGTACTTCTCTGCACATATAA